ATTTTAAGCAAACAAATCGCTTTACTTATGAGTAGTGAGGGATTTATAGCAAATTTATAAGTATTGCTTTCATGCCAAACTTGAACTTCATACCTTCTCTCCAAAAAGTTCTCAACAACAGTATGAAAGATAGAGAAATGTTACCTATTTTTATTAATGGGAAACTCAAATTAACTTAAACAATAATAATTGATACCCACTGTACAAGAGGTGAATCCTTTAGATGACGAATTGGCGTTTCAGACAACGAATGTACGGTTTGAGTCTCAGTAAAAACATAGGAGATGCAATCATATTCAGCTGACAAGTCACATGCAGGATGGAATGTGCATACCTGTGCCAGTTACCAATCACTGAAATCCTTCTACACATTTCTCAACCAAGTTCCCACATCATAGTTTGGAACGGTCTGGATACTGAATAAAGGGTATTTGTAACTTCAAGTAGTATCCTTCCTTTTTTATCTTTCAATTCTTATTTTATTCCTTTTGGTTGCCGATGGAATAAGGGGCTTCAGGCTTCGAGATGTGATTAGATGTGGTGTTATTCTTTTTCAGCCTTCCCTCTCTACCGGGTTTACTACCAGATAAGCGACACCAAGGAGTGGGTAGAAAAAGAGTTAAGGCCCGGACCACATGGGTGGTTGGCAAGTATTGTACCGATGAACCGCAGATGCACATTTTTCCTAATAGACTGGAAAAAGTAAAACAAGAATATTTCACTGGCATTCCGCTGCTCATTTCCAATAACTTTAACAAATTTACAATCTAGTACGAAAGTTTTTTCACCTTAATTCGATCAATATCGCCAGATGAATGCTTCTGCGTCGGTAAAGATAGCAAATATGTATAAAAACATGTATGTTATACGTGACAAATGTATGAGTTGTCAGATTAATATGACTGCTACCAAGTTCAATTTTTATGGCACAAGTTTTGATAAAAAGAGTTTATTTTTAGGTATCCGTTTTTGTAAGGATTTTGTTTGACTGATCGGAGGATTTCATCATAAGCTGATATCTGTTAGAGAACCATTGAAAAACCTGGGAGAATGGAACAGCTGTTTCTTCGGCCGAGTTTGAAACTCTTCATCAGTACACACCAACACTACTGGGCTCGAACCCAGGACCTTCTGGTTACAAGTCCAGCGAGCTCGCAGACCATTAAGCCACTGGGACCCAATCCATGGTCAGCCTATCAATTCGAACTTCTGTCAATTCATGACATAGTGCCACCACTAGCCAATATCTTCTTCGACGAGTTAATGCCTCACCTTCAACCTGCTGCACCCTACTGGTCACAGCCTCCCATCAGAACCCAAGGTCACTGGCTGCCAGCCACTAATGAACATCAGATCAATTTTCAAGTATTGGTTTTTGTAGGGACTTTGTTTGCTTGGCTGGAGGACTTTATGTTATGTTGATGGATTCAAAGCATCCCAAGTTGGCACTTATTCTCACCCCCCCCAATCAAATTTCTGAGACTTTCAATCCATCTCACCCAGAGAGATCCTATTAATTGGTCAGATTCCCAATTCGCAAATTACTTGGCGATTTTCAATTTACACAGATCCTGTAGGTGAAATTCCTCCACAGTTTCTTTGGAAACAGAGATTATGCAGAGCATACACAATATGTGAATTGCTTCATATCACAGATCATATCTTCACTCTCCGACAGATCCTAGAGCATAGACACACTTTCCGGTGTCCAACAATTGCCATATTTCTTGACTTGAAGGCGGCCTTCGACTCCGTGGATCGAAAGCTACTATGGCAATCAATATTTGACTGTGAAGGGAGTGTCAAGAAAGTACATTGCACTAATCAAGGCACTCTATTCAAACTCACATAGTCGTGTAAGGGCTTATGGCGAAATGTCATCTGAATTGGTAACAACCAGTGGTGTCCGTTAGAGATATCCACTTTCCCCATTTCTGTTTAACTTCATCATAGATGTGCTAATGGAAATATCCTTAACTGAACGTAACGACTTAGGAATCGACTTGTTACCAGGGAATAGTCTTATGGACTTAGAATATGCAGATGACATAGTCCTGTTAGGGGAGGATGCTGACAAAATCCAGCAGAGTCTTCTGAACACCTTGAGCAGCAATCTTCGTATGTTTGGCATGCGATTTGCCCCTGCAAAATGTAAGATGCTGCTACAGGACTGGACAACGTCAACTCCTAGCTTAGTGATAGGGAGTGAAGTGATAGAACATGTTGACCACTTCACCTATTTGGGAAGTTGTATCAACACCAACGGACTGATTGGCGACGAAATCTCAGCACGGATCCAAAAAGCTCGAGCTGCCTTCGCTGACTTACACCATCTCTGGCGCAGGCGTGATATCCGGCTATCAACCAAGGGACGTGTGTACTGCTCAGCAGTTCACTCCATCCTTCTCTATGGCTCTGAAACATGGCCAATACGAGTTGAAGATATGCAAAGGTTGATTGTTTTTGATCATAGATGTTTACGATCTCTTTCTCATGTTAGGTGGTATAATAAGGTAAGTAATGTTGACGTTAGGCGTAGAGTGTTGGGCAAAGAGGGAAAATCAGTCGACGAGGCTATAAAGTTACATAGATTGAGATGGCTAGGTCACGTGCTGCGCATGCCTAACCATCGCCTCCTCCGACGGGCATTACTAGCTGACATAGGTGTACGTTAGAAAACAGTAAGTGGTGGCCAAACAAAAACATGGCATCAATCCATGAAATCCTTGACAGTTAAACTGAGTCAGGTGGGGAGATGCAGACTTCCGGGTCAGGGACCTCGGGACTCTAAGAATCAATGGCTGGAGACAATAGGTGACATGGCTCAAAATCGCTGTCAATGGCGCAGATGTATTCAGTCTCTTCAATCTTTCATATTCCTTTCTACCATTACTAATTGTTTCACTCTTATACTTGTCAAACTCTATTGATTCCCTTCAGTCATCTTCTTGTCTACCTTTGAGTGCTATTTGGAACGCGGCAACTCGAACTGCTGCACTTGGGTGCCAAGTTCTATGTTGAACCCAGACAAACAGTCATATCATAAGTCACAATCAGAAAACAAGAGTAATTGCATGATGTCATTTGCTAATGATTGCACGACATGAGAAATTTGGATACCACTCATATCAGTAAGTAAGTAGTGCCTGCTTTCTTCATTGTGATTTCTAGCATCAAACAGATCACATATTGTGCCTCATCTGAGTGATCTCTGTTTCTAAAAGAAACTGTGGTGGAATTTCAACTCCAGGGTCTGTGTAGATTGCAGATCGGAAATAAATTTTCAAATTACGAAATTAATTCAACGTATTACTAGTTCGCCTAAATAGCTACCCGAAAACCAAGCGGTTTGAACTGACTCGGCTCTCTGAACTGAATAAGATAGACCATACGCTGTTTTAGATCACTCATATCTGACCAGGGAGGAATAATAGTTTATTTGAGTGTAGTATCTAACTACTCATACCTAGCTAGCAGGAGTATGTAGCATTCCTATTAATTTTTAAACAACAATTTCCATGCCAAAATGAAATCCTGGTGTGCAAACTTATTACTGAAGAAATTGCCTTTTTTAAATCCTTAGAAGGCTATATAGATGAGATATTGATTTGCTTTATGTAAACTGCCTTAAGCATAAAAAATGTGTCCCGTCTGATTAATATCCCCCCCCCAGATCTTAACTGGGGACACCGGAATAGTTTGATGGTGAGGTGTGTCTGCAGGACTGAATGATGTGAGTTCGAATTTCTGAGGAGCTGCAAATATGTCAAACCCCATAACTGACCTAGCATGATTGTAGGTGTGCAGACCCCAGTCTTCCTCGCGAAATGATCTCATATGGACAAGAGGTCATTAGCTAGCCCTCCCAAGTAACTCCTATTCACTGTCTTCGAGCGGTAACGTTTGCTCTCATAAAAGTGAAAAGACGAATACGAATGTTTGATGGGTGTATAAGGGGAGTTGGAAAACCCTAATATAAACTCCAGAATCCGAAAAGATCGACAGTCGTACCAATATGATTCGGTCACCATCAACGTAGCTCCTGACGCTGCTCCAAAGACTTGTGGACCAGAACTCAAGCGAAAGGCTCTAGGAATAATTTAAAATAATCACCTGCTTCGACCTCAGCGTTCAATCACTATATTATTCAGAATTCTTGTTGACACATACATACAACATACTTAGATGGAACAAAACAGAATAGCATTTAATCAAAATGCACATCACGATAGATTACTGGATTAACATGGGGAAAGTAAAACAGCAGATGTAAATTTCATTAACGGGATTTACAAAGCCATTAGGGTTATCAACTGAACAATTCAGAATGCATTCTTCTAGCCAATGTGCTTGATGGAACCACCCCACCCCCACCCCGGCGAATACACACATGATGTACGTTTACAAAAACGTCAGCAGACAAAATGTCTTCACTCGAAATGCAAACCGAATCTTATCTTTCACCGAGATCGTTATATCACACACATAAGCAAAACTTTTAAGATACCTGTGATCGCATTGCCACAGCACATATTTTTGGGTTCATTCTTGTTAAGCCAAAGTATACCTTAGTCTCCATTTGAATAGCTTACGAATTGGATCTTTAAGAAAAAACCTGCATCCGATACTTTTCTAATAGTATCACAACTAAGGAGGCCTGACACAGTCACTGTACGTCCCGTGGAGGCTGATTTCAGTATTCAGGTGATAAATACAGATTCAATGTTAATATGCTATGTGGTGACAAAACGGTGATGGAATAAACAAGCTGGAAAATGTCGTCCTGAGACCGAAACAAATAAATAAATAAATACGACTTTTAAACATCCTCGGATTTCTGAATATGTTTTCCCACCCCCGTTTAATGTAAAAACTGCGCCATATATTATGCAACAATCAATCAATGGATGACTAAGAAGCTTGGAGCCACAAAACCATAGAAACTTTCTTCACTTAAGGTCAGTCAAAGCTACATATCACCCAGATAGAGAGAGAAAAAGTACCACGTAAGAAAATGTATTATAAATTACACAAGAATTCACACAAGAATTAGATTCTGATTCCTGAGAATTAATCGTGAGTTAAACTGTTTTACCAGGATCTGCTTTCAGGGCCACTGTTCGATTAAATACCATCTGAAAGGTAAAAGCAAAGAAGAAGAAATAAGACTGAATACAAATGTGGAAATGACTAGAACCTTTCAATAGATTTATAGGAGTAATTTATTTTTCAATTGACAAAAAAACATTCTTTTTGGTGGTTGTTTTAAAAACAATAAAACTGGTAGCGTATTCCCAGTAGTATTGAGTCCACTTTTCAGGACAAATATCAACAATGTAAGATCTGATCACGTGTACATTATAATTATTATTATTATCCATACACAAACGGTGCAGTATGGGCACCATACGATGGACCAAACAGAAATAAAACAATATAAAGAGACAGGATTTCATCATAAGCTGACATTAGTTAGAGAACCATTGGAAAACCTGGGAGTACTGGGCAGCTGTTTCGTCCCAATTTGGGACTCTTCATCAATGGTGGCGCTATATCGTAAATTGGCAGAAGTTGGTATTCATGTGCCATTGGATCTGATCCCAGTGGCTTAATAGTCTACGAGCTCACCTTTTAACCAGAAGGTCCTAGGTTCGAAACCCCAATGGGTACATAATGACGCAGAGTTCCAAACTAGAACGAAACGGCTGTACAGTACTCGCAGGTTTTCCAATGGTTCTCTAACCAATGTCAGCTCATAACGAAGTTCTGTAACCAATCAAATCCCCGCAAACCAACACCTGACTATGAGGAAAATAGAATGAAATAAATGAGACAACATCCAGAAAACAAGTATTCATAACTATCGTGAGCATTGAAAAGATGGTTCGTTACTTCATGTTACTTTCACAAACAGAAAAAATAAAGGAAATGAAGCGTGTTCGCCGTTGATTACAAATCTTAACTAAATCAAATAGCGTGTCGATCCACTGATTTGAATTATCTCTCTGAGACGCCAACAGATGCTAACCAAACAATACTATCCTTCATCCAAGGGCTCGACATCATGTGCTGACTCCACCTCCGCTTTACCCAACTAGTCCCACAGGTAGCAAAGAGAGAACGGTATGGAAGTCGTTAGGATAACATTCGTAACAAGTGTCCAAGATACCAAACTAGCATTGCAAGATGACAACACTGTGACGCAGGACCTCAGAATTACTGACATCATGATGCCACCAGTTACGAGCAATTCTACGGAGGCAATGATGATCGAACAGGCAGATTCACAACAAACTCTGAGCTCGGATACAAGGCTTCACAGAACTAGCATATGCCAACCTGGCTTTCATCAGCATACGGTCAGGGATCTCATCTAACACTCATACACAAATACCCATATATACGAGTTTATCGACTACCTCTAACGGTCTATCTGAAGGGGTGAGCGCAGGCACAGACTCCTACTGAGCTTGCGATAATACTTTACGCTTAGACAGCACAAAGGACATACCAAAGCACAAAACGTGGGACAATAAAACCACCCGCATTGTACTGGCAAAAATTACCAATACGGTGTTTCAAAGCAGAAAAGTCAACATACAACTGATCAGAACCGAATAAACTGGAGCTATTATACTTTGAAAGAGCGTGAAAACAACAAGAGAACAAACATGAAAGTGATATCAAACAGACAAGAATCATTTTTGTGTAGATGAAAATGAATGAAACTCAGGAAATATGTTTAAATCCTTTAAGATAAATAATGAATACACGTGCACCGTTTTGAACTATATTCCACCATATTCCACCATTAATGCCTGCATTAATGAAATTTCTTCATATAAGTATAAAACTTGGGCACTGTGGTAGAGTGTAACTCCATTATGGATAAGATTTTATTTTGATAACATCACACAGTGTTGTACAGTAATGTCTGTCTGTCTGTTTTCGACATAGAACTTTGCACAAATGTGCACCAGTTCAAGTCGCCACACTCCGTGTAGCACGCGAAGCAAGTAAGAGAAGAAAGTACAAGAAAAGCATAATAGAAACAGTGAGCAGAGGTGTGAGACAAAGGAGTAATAAAGAAATACAAAACAGTTTCATTGGAAATCATAAGTCACAAGGAGTGGATGCATCTGCGCCACTGAGAACGATTTTGAGCCATGTCACCAATTGTTTCCAACCATAGATTTTTACCGTCACGAGGACCCCAGCCTGGAAGTCTACACCTTCCTACGTGGCTTAGACCAACTGTTGTGGATTTCATTGACTGGTGAGGCCAAGTTTTTGTTTGACCGCCGCTAGCTTTTTTCCAGCCTGACCCTATATCCGCTAACATTGCTCGTCGAGGGAGGCGATGGCTTGGCATACGTAACACATGTCCTAACCATCTCAGTTGTACAGTAATATTAACCAATGACGTTTTGAGCAGAAACTATTGCTCATAATCATATGAAGCTACTCGCACAACTTTTTTACTTCATTTATATACATGTGTGGAATCAATTAGATATTGGAATGAAAATCAATATGAGATAATGTGCATTGAGAAATAATAACACGAGTGTTATTGATCAATTACAATCACATGGGAAATAATATGAGTGTTTTTTAGTCATAATAAGTAACTGGTTAGAATGTTGTGATGTGCTTGAATTGAAATAGAATTTTATGATTATTTATTACCCTCTTCTGATTTGACCGATGGTAATAATATTTTCCATATTTCAGGTATGAGTGATGAGTCATTCCTATTGCATGTGTTGGGTGTAGACTCGATGAACAAGGATTCAGTAATCAACCCCTCTCTCCACCTAGATAGATTACTTCTTAGAATCTTAACCTTCTCCCACCCTATTGTGTGGTTGTGTGTTAATGCATGCAGCGCGACTGCTGAGTGTTTTTCTAAATTACTCATCTTCTCGGGGTCAATCATTTTAGTCTTAGCTAAATTCTTATGTTCTGATAATCTCACTAATCCTGCCTGATCTACTAGTTTGACCTATGTAGTTGACTTAACTCACAGTCATTGCAAGTTATTTTGTAAATTATATTATTTTGTTTAATTGGGTCCCTTTAGCCTACAGAGCTTGTCTCTGAGTGAGTTTGTAGGTTTAAATGCCACCCTAATTCATGCTTTATTCGGAATCCTACGTAGGACCTCAGATGTCCCCTCCTTATATGGTATTAACAGCAGATGACTTATATTCTTTCCTATTTATGTTATCATTCCTAGTTTGACAATTATTTTTAATTTGCTTTTGGCCTTTTTTGATCTTCCTAATGAATTTTATAGGATAGTTATTTAACACCAAAGCCTCTTCGATCTGTTTTATTTCTTCATTTAGGTCTTTTTTGTGCTACTTGGAGTTCTTACTGATAAAAACTTTGCGGTTGCTCATTTTCTATATCCAATTAGGTTGTGACACATAAGTATACAAAAACAAAAAACAGAAGTAATCTTCTATAAATCTCCTTCGTTTGTAACAATATCAAAATGATCTATCCATGTCACAGACTTGATCTCAACAGTTAGAAAGTGATACATGATTTCCCTTTATGTTTCAAGTTAATACTGATCATCAACAAGTGATTACCTCAGCAGAACTGTAAATAACGATTATCGCCGTCAGTTCATTTATTTGGTAAGATGATTTTAAAAAACCAGGAATGATGCTTTGCTGGTTAAATTTATTAGCCATGGCCACAATGCTAAGGACGAACAGAAGGAAGTGAATGGGGAACAGTACTAGTAATGAGAAGAGGCAACAACAATCGGGTCCCAGTGGTTCAATGGTCTACGAGCTGGCTCGCCTTGTAACCAGAAGGTCCTGGGTTTAAACCCCGGTGGGTTTGGACTTATGAAGAGTCCCAAACTAGGACGAAACAACTGTCCAGTACTCCCAGGCTTTCCAGTGGTTCTCCAAATGATGCCAGCTTATGATAAAATCCTCCATGCAATCAAAAAAGAAAGAGATGATTGGAAGGGTAAATGACAAACATGTAAGCATTGTGTACTACTAATGGAAACACGTTGAAGGTCCACGTTTCCTAGTTCCCCACACTGTAGATAACCCCTGATAAGAGTACTCGAGAAATACAAAGCACAAGTTTAAAGTTATCACATAACAAAAGGAAATATTTATCTGAAGTCAGTCACGCATAATGTGTTTGAGACTACTGAGATTTATGGAGTACTTACTTACTTTTTACTTTACTTCGGCTATCTCCTACGGGAGGATGAGCCGGCTTCATGAACGTCTCGAATCATCGCTGCCCAGGCGCGGCGATCTGAAGCAAGGTTTTGTGATAGGGATATCCAATTCTTGTTCCACATACGGAGTCCGTAGACCGTTTGTAGCCCCAGGCACTCCATATCTGCCTTGACTGTACCAAGCCATGTCTTCAGCTGTCCGCCTCTGCGACATCGCCAAGATGGTAATGGCGAGGGATTTAGAACTGATTTGACCAGATCGTCATCTGGTCGGCGCAGAACATGGCCAAACCACCGAAGGCGGCGTTGTTGGACCAGTACTGGAATTTGGTTGATGTTGTAGCAACGCCGACGCACTTCTTCGTTGGAGAGTTTGTCCTGCCAACGAACATGCAGAATGTACCTGAGACACCAATGGTCTAATACCTCGAGTCTGCGTAAATCTTCCGCGCGAAGAGGCCAGGTTTCACAGCCATACAGCAGAACGGGTCGTATGGAAGCTTGGTAGATCCGAATTTTAGTCCTGAGACTGATTTCTCTCTTGCTCCATAGAACGCTCCTCAGCTGTAGAAACGCATTCCGGGCGTTGGAGATTCGCGCATTCACTTCGTTTTTCGCTTGGCCGTTGGGGAGCATTATGGATCCCAGATATCTGAAGGATGGCACAATTTCAATAGGTGCTCCATTTAAGGATAAGATTTCATCATTGCCGGTGGATGTGTTCGAAAACATTTTGGTTTTGGAAGTGTTAATTTTCAAACCGATAGTAGACGCGAGGTGGTTTATCTGGTCGAGCGCCTGTTGCATATCGGGGAAGTTTTCAGCTAACAGCACGACGTCGTCGGCGAATTCGAGGTCGGTTATGTGAATATCGGGCGAAAGTTGGACGCCGTGGTGCTCGGTTAGGGCGTGCCGCAA